CGGAGCGGGTCCGAGTGTCCGGACCGGCTGCGTGGTGGCTGGCGGCGGGCCGAGGGGTGGGGCTGGGCGGCGACCCACCACGGGGGAGGTCATGGGAGCGGACGGCCTCACCGCCTGGCTCTTTCCTCCCTTCCCCCCGTGGTCGGCTCCCCGCTTGCCCACGCTGGGGCCGGGGGTCCATGCGGCCCTTGGGGCCCGGTCGGGGGGACCGGGGCCTGCGTGGGCCGACCGCCGGGCCCCATTGGGGGGGGGGCATTGGCTCCCCGGCCCACGGCGGGAGCCCGGCGTGGGCTGCCACCCGCCCGCTGCCCCCCGGGCCGGGCCCAGTGCAGCAGCGGCGGCAGCGGAGTGGGGCGCGTGCCCTAGCTCGGGGAGGCCACCATGCTGCAGTGCACTGGCCCCATGGGCCGGGCCTGCTCCGAGCAGATGCCGCTCCTCCAGAGCTGGGCCACTCCACCGGCTGCACCCTGTTTGCTGGGTCTGTGCCGCCCAGACGCGCTGGAGTCCCAGTCTGCCCGCAGGCCGCCTGCGGGTGTTGTGCGGGGGGGCCATCCTGCCTTGTGGCGAGTTCGAGCGGCAGCGGCAGGAGCTGGACGGGGACTGCGCCCTCCATCTTGCCTTGGGTCCTCCATTTTGGGACAGTGCCATGTGCTTCCTCACGGGAAGAAGCCGCTACTAGCCACACCCAGGATTTCTCTGGACTAACCAATAATAATCAAGGGAAGTGCACGCCATCACTATGACCACATCCTGTACCGACTGGCGCCTGGCCAATCGGCGGGGCCCACAGTCCCCTCTCCTGCCCTCACTCCACCCCCCTTTAAAACCCCCTGTCCCATCAGGTCTCTCTCTCTCTCTCGGCCACTGGAGCTTACCGTTGCATCGGTGAGTGTGGCAGGGGAGCCAAACCTAGGTTTGAAATAAATGACTCTTTGCTTTTGCATCGGACTGACTGGCTCCCTGGGGGTCTTGGGAACTTTGAAATCTGGGCACAACAATTTATGAAGATGATCACTTAGTAATCACTGGGGTATACACCTGAAACTAATATAGTACTGTACGTCAACTGTAATTTAAAAATAAAAAGTATTTTTTAAAAGCCAATATAATAAAAAGGAAAAAATAGATAAGTAAGTCCACAAATGACAAGTGTTGGCGAGGATGTGGAGAAAGGGGAACCCTTGTGCACTGTTGGTGGGAATGCAGACTGGTGCAGCCACTGTGGAAAACAACAGTGTGGAGTTTCCTCAAAAAATTTAAAATGGAACTGCCTTTTGACCTAGCAATTCCACTTCTGCGGATTTATCCAAAGAAACCCAAAACACTAATTCAAAAGAATATAGGTACCCCTATGCTCATTGCAGCAGTATTTACAATAGCCAAGATCTGTAAGCAACCCAAGTGCCCATGAATAGATAAGTGATTTAAAAAAAAAGAAAAGTGATGGTACATATATACAATAGGATACTTGACCATAAAAAGAATGAAATCTTATCATTTGTGATAGCATGGATGTACCTAAAGGGTATTATGCTAAATGAAATAAGTCAGTCAGGGAAAGAATAATACCATATGATTTCACTTATATGTGGAATCTAAAAAACAAAATAAGCAAACAAAACTGAAACAAACTCATAGACACAGAGAGCCAACTGGTGGCTACCAGAGGGAGACTGGGTGAAAGATGTGAAAGGATTAAGGAGTACAAACTGGTAATTATACAATCGTCACCGGGATGTCAAGTACAGCCGGGGGAATACAGTCAATAATATTGCGATAACTTTGTGTGGTGCCAGGTGGGTACTGGGAATATCGGGGCAGGGACACTTTGAAAAATATGTTTGTCTAACCACTATGCTGTACACCTGAAACCAACACAAAACAGTATTGAAAGTAAACTGATTGAAAGATAAAATAAAATAATAATAAATGGGCAGAGGAACTGAATAAACATTTTTCCAAATAAGACATCCAAATGGCCAATATACATGAAAAGAAGCTCAAAATCACTTATCATCAGAGAAATAAAAATCAAAGTCACAATGAGATATCACCCCATACCTGTCAGAAAGGCTATTTCAAAAAGGTTAGATACAACAACTGGTGGTGAGGATGTGAGTAAAGGAAACCCTTGTGCACTGTTAGTGAGATTGTAAACTGGTTCTGCCAATATGAAAAACAGTATGGAGTTTCCTTTCAAAATTAAAAATAGAACTACCATATAATCCAGCAATTCCACTTTTAGGTATTTATCCAAAGGAAACAAAATCACTATTGCAAAATATATCTGCACCTCCATGGTCACTGCAGCATTATTTACAATAACAAAGACAAAGAAACAACCTAAGTGTCTATTGACGGATGAATGGATAGTTTTAATTGATAACACACATACAAACACAGGAACTTATTCACCCATAAAGAAGAATGAAATCATGCCATTTGCAACAACATGGATGAACCTTGAGGGCATTATACTAAGTGAAATAAGCCAGACAGAGAAAGACAAATACTATATGTTCTTAATTATATGTGGTATCTAAAAAAACTGAACTCATAGATTCAGAGAACAGATAGGTGCTTGCCAGAGGTAGGGTTTCAGGTGAAGGGTGGAGAGGAGAGAGGGTGATGAGTGAATGGGTGATGGTCTAAAACAGCGGTTGCCAACCGGTGGTCCACAGACCACTGATGATCCATGAGGTCCGAAAGGTTGGCAACCGCTGATCTAAAGGTACAAACTTCCCGTTATAAGATAAATAGGCCCTAGGGCTGTAAAGTACAGCATGGTCATTAGCTAACGGCACTGTACTGTATATTTGAACATAGCTAAGAAAGTAAATCTTAAAAGTTCTTATCACAAGAAAAAAATTGTATCTATATGAGGTGATAGATGGTACCAAAACTTTCAGTGATCAATTCACAACATATACATACATATATATCAAATCATTATGTTGTATACCTAAAACTGATACCATGTTATATGTCAGTTATATCTCATTTTAAAAAACATACTTTCTTTCTCTGTTTACTTTGGGTTTAATGTGCTCTACTTTTCAGTTCTTAAGGTGGAAATTGAGGTCATTGATTTGAAAATTTTCTTCTTTTCAAATCAGGCATTTAGTGCCATAATCTTCCTCCTGTGTATTGTTTCAGTGGCACAAACTTGACATGCGCTTTCATTTTCATTCAGTTCAAAATATTTTCTAAGTTCCCTTTTCAATTTGTCTTTGATCTATGGGTTATTTAAAAGTATACTATTTAGTTTCCAAATATTTGGGGATTTTTCAAGAATTTTCCTGTTATTGCTTTCCAGTTTAATTCCACTGTGATCAGAGAATATGTTTCGTATGACTTAAATCCTTTTAAATGTACTAGTACTGGTTTCATGGCCCAAAATATGGTCTATCTGATTTTCAGCCTGTTTGTACTATCAATGATTTTATGAAAAGTCAGAGTGTATAAGTGATGTGCCCTCCATCTCCCTCAGCCCACACACCCACCAGGAGAGGACAGCCAGCATGCACTCCTGCTCACAGTGTGAATTCTGAACTGCCCTCCCCAGTTGTTCTATATAATCAATTGTGTCCCACACAGCAAACACATAGCCACAGGCATCCATTTGTTCTCCATTTTCTCTTCATCTTGCCCTTTAAGTTTGACAGTCAGTTCTGCACACCCACGGTTCTGATGGCCCACCCTGGCCACATCACATGTAGCTATTTGCAAGCAAACACAGCAGCCTTTCCCCAGCCCCGCAGGCTGGAACCAAACAAAAGGGAGAGGAATTTCTGATTGGAAGGTTTCTACTGTGGTTGTGAATTCTTTGTAGTCAATTCAGCAAATGTTGGTCAAGCAAGTGTTTACCGTGTACAAGGCATGGTTCCGAACTTACGGTTTAATCTTGGGCCAGCGAGTGGGGACTGATGTATTCAGAGAGGGTCGGTTTGGAGGGTAAGAGGAAGGAGAAAAGACCTAGTGTTGATGACAAAGGGAGCCCAGCTTCCATAAAAAGGAAACAACCACATTCCCTGAAGAAGAACATAGCAGAGGTTGATTGCCTCTCTGTGTTTTGGGTCAAGGCAGTTCCCTGGCAGATGGGAATTCTAAGTCTTCTCCACAGAATAACCTGAGAGATCCCCTCTTTGCTTTCATCACAGTAAATCAGTGAAAATTCTGCCCATTTCTTACCTCAAGATTATTCAATAGAATTGATACACAAAAAGCAATTGCTTCTAAGTTCACCTCTTAGCAGGAGTCCCGAGTCTTGGAAGTAGGATTGTTTGTTTTAAGCAGCCATGCGCCAATACGTAACAGCTCATAGAGCAGTGGTTCTCAACCTTTTGGCCCTTTAAATACAGTTCCTCATGTTGTGACCCAACCATAAAATTATTTTCGTTGCTACTTCATAACTGTCATGTTGCTACTGTTATGAATCGTAATGTAAATATCTGATATGCAGGATGGTCTTAGGTGACCCCTGTGAAAGGGTTGTTCAACCGCCAAAGGGGTCGCGCCCACAGGTTGAGAACCGCTGTCACAGAGCCTTAGTCCCTAAGTTCAATTGGAGGAAGCACAGGGGTCTGAAGAGCACAGCATACTAGAAACATCTTAATGCTTCCTTTATAGGTCAGAACATCAAAGATTTAGCTGTTCCAGAACCAACACAGAATAATCACATTCTTTATTTCTCTCCATTTTCCATTTTGCTTTTCTTCACAGTCAGGGGAGAAGGGGAGTCCTTAACATGCCCAAGGGAATGGGGACCCCTTTTACTGACTGGAAAAGATTACGTAGCAGGACACAATGTGTCCACAAGGTCCTCCTGGAGCTTGACCTGGAGCCAAAGGAGGAGGTGAGGGTGAGCCCTGCTTCCCCAGCACCCTTCAGAAGGCGATCAGGACCCCCCTGTTCCCCAACAGTCACACCAGCCGATTCTCCTTCTACTCTGTGTAACTGTTTCTCAATAGCTATTAGTATAAGAAGGCTTAAAGGCCTACCTTAGAGGTATTGTGGGTTCAGTTCCAAACATCCCAATGAAGCAATCTGTAATCGTTGCTGGTGGAGGGTCTTGCCTTCAATTTGTAAAAATAAAGTAGTATCTGTGAAGCACAATAAAGCAAAGCTCAATAAAACAAGGTGTGCCTGTGTATCACTCAATTCTAACTTCCTCTCTATCTACAAAACAGTCTATGGCAGTGGTTCTCAACTTTCCTAATGCCGCGACCCTTTAATACAGTTCCTCGTGTTCCCCAACTATAAAATTATTTTTGTTGCTACTTCATAACTGTAATTTTGCTACTGTTATGAATCGTAATGTAAATATCTGATATGCAGGATGTATTTTCATTGTTCCAAATTGAACATAATTAAAACATAGTGATTAATCACAAAAACAATATGTAATTATATATGTGTTTTCCAATGGTCTTAGGGGAACCCTGTGAAAGGGTCGTTCAACCCCCAAAGGGGGCGTGACCCACAGGTTGCGAACCGCTGGTCTATGGGAAAAAAGAAACTTCCCAGAATTCAAACAAAAAAGCTTGCCAATGTCTGTCTCCCTGCGGAACGCTGCCTGTTCTGGTCCAGAGAGAGATACTGGTTAGAGCTGGATTTTACAAACCAGCTTCTAGTTTATCCCCTTCATATTAGCAGAATAGTGAAGAACATCTTTGAACATTAGGTTTCTATGTCAAATTCATAAATAGCAAGTATATCTATAAGATGTTGATTTTAAAAACTGGCATGGCCTCTGTTATATGAAAGAGAAAATAATTATATGGGAGTGAGGAAGTTTAGAAGATGGAGAAAGGGTTCATTGACAGTAATATAAAGAATCACATTTTTTATCAAAAATGTTGGTGATCATCCATCCCTTGATACTGCTAATTTTGCTATAACACTGGCAGGCATGAGTTAACACACGAAATAATTAGCATTGGAACATTGTCAGGATACAAACAGAAAGCAGTCCTAGAAGTAGGCCCCACTTGTTTACCTGGGAGAATTTCTTTGGATACATAAGAAGCTGGTAACAGTGGTCAACTCCAAGGGACAGCACTAGGGGTTTAGGGAAATGTGGATTCTAGGAAGGGAAATTTTTACTTTTCATTTTATAAACTTCTGAACTGCTTCATGTTGACCGTGAATTAATTTTCTTATTAAAAGAGCAATGAGGGCCCTGGCCATGTGGCTCAGTTGGTTGGAGCATTGTCCTTTGTACCACAAGGTTGTGGGTTCGATTCCCCGTCAGGGCACTTACAGTGGGGCTTTGACTTACGAGTGTCCCGACTAACGAGTTTTTCCGAGATACGAGCCGTCTCTCTGTCGATTTTTTGCTTTGAGTTGACAGAGTAATTTGAGTTAATGAGGTCCTTAACGAGCTCCATCACTTAAACTCATAAGTCAAGGCCCCACTGTACCTAGATTGCAGGTTTGATCTCAGGCCCAGTCAGGGGGCGTTTGGGAGGCAACCAATCAACGTCTCCTTCTCTCCTTCTCACCTCCTCCCCCCCTCTTTTCCTCCCTCTCCTTCCACTCTCTCTGAAAATTTAATGGGAAAAATATTCTTGGGTGAGAATTAACCAAAAAATAAAATAAAATAGCAATGAGGTAGAGCTGTTTTAGAATGGTAAAGACCTGTAAATTAAGTGAAAGCAGAAAGTCATATTCATGTGAAAAGAAAATGAGTTATATTAATGTATATACCTGTACATATATTTTTACATACATAGTTACATATATACCTAAAAGCACACAACAGAAGACCTATAGATATACATCATAACTCGGTAGTGCTTACCTCTGGGGAAGAGAGTAGGGAGGAATCAGGTAGTATTCAACGTTCTTCATTATTTGATTTTCCCCAAATGCATTCACGGATGTGCTTCTTGTATAATATTTAAATCAATAAAAAAGGGACAATTTTTATGAAATCCTTCCCTCTATCTTGCAAGTGCTCCTGCTTCTCTGTAACAGCACTCTGAAGGACGGCTCCCATCCCATTATATCTGATTCTGGTGGGGTTTCCAATCACAGGACCCCACCACCACCTGAGGGTGGACACATGACCCCAGGGAGGCCAATCGGTTTACCGCCTCTAGGAACCTGAATTGAAGCAGAAACACATGGGGACTGGAGGAATCTACAAATGAGTCATCCAAAGGCCAAATCTTTAAACAGCCTGTGTTTCTGAGGCTGTTAACAAGATTCTGAGGCTTCTGTGCTTCTGAGCCCTGGTTTTTTAAATTCTTCTTTGATTTTCCTTCTAGTAAATTCCATTTTTAAAACAAAGCAAACAAAGAGAGTAACAAATTTATGGAAAACAATAAAGAATTCAGGATGGATCACACTGAGTCCATGTTTCCTATAAGGCGGTGGTTCTCAACCTTCTGGCCCTTTAAATACAGTTCTTCATGTTGTGACCCAACCATAAAATTATTTTCGTTGCTACTTCATAGCTGTAATGTTGCTACTGTTATGAATCATAATGTAAATATCTGATATGCAGGATGGTCTTAGGCGACCCCTGTGAAAGGGTCGTTCGACCGCCAAAGGGGTCGCGACCCACAGGTTGAGAACCGCTGCTATAAGGCATTCACGTGCAAATGTGGGTTTGGAACTCAGAAGAGAACATGAACTGGCAGCTCAGATTTAAGAGCTATGAGAATTCCAGCCGAAGTCTGTGATCCAAGAGAAACAACAGAGTCAAGGACGGAACTATAGGAAACACCACCCCCTGAGGATGGGGAAAGAATGTCAGACACTGTCATTTACTGGCACACAGTGATTGTATCAGGTGAGGCCTGCCATACGCGGTCCTTCTGAGACCTTGAACATAATTTCTTGTGCACCTACCGACTGGGCATGGTCTCATGGTTGCAATGTAACTGCACATGTATGATGCTTTGTCATTGTCACATAATATAAAGGCAGTGTAGCCAGGTGACAATAAGAAATCGGATGCAGGATAACATGCTAGATCCAGATAGTGTACGTGATGTAAGGACCTTTTGCAACCATTTAAAGCAGTGGTTCTCAACTTTCCGGCCCTTTAAATACAGTTCCTCATGTTGTGACCCAACCATAAAATTATTTTCATTGCTACTTCATAACTGTAATGTTGCTACTGTTATGAATCGTAATGTAAATATCTGATATGCAGGATGGTTTTAGGCGACCCCTGTGAAAGGGTCATTCGACCGCCAAAGGGGTCGCAACCCACAGGTTGAGAACCTCTGATTTAAGGTAAAACAGCACGTGAGTTTTTTAGTGACCCCTTCTCCCATCACCGTACAACCCACACTCCAAGACAAGGAAATGGGGTTCTCCAGAGAAACAGGAGAGAACGTGAGGTTTCCCTTCGGAGGTCCCATCCAGGACACTTGGTATCTGTGATGCAGCACACGTGCCAGTTAACACTGGAAAAGGCCTCCGGCGCAGCAAAGCACTCGCCACATTTTCTGCCAAAACACGGCCTGTTAAATCAGAGGCCACAAACATGCTCACCAAACCCAGGCGTTCTCAATCTTAACTGCCCGTTGGAATCACCTGGCAATTAAAAAAATATGCTGATGACTCCTCCTGCCACCCGAGATTCTGATTTAATTGGCCAGCGGTGTGACTTGGACTTTTAAAAGCTCCCCAGGTGATCCTACTGTGCAGCAATGGTTTAGATTTTTTTTTTTTAATTTTTAAAAACAATGGTTCTCAACCTTCTGGCCCTTTAAATACAGTTCCTCATGTTGTGACCCAACCATAAAATTATTTTTGTTGCTACTTCATAACTGTAATGTTGCTACTGTTATGAATCGTAATGTAAATATCTGATATGCAGGATGGTCTTAGGCGATCCCTGTGAAAGGGTCGTTCGACCGCCAAAGGGGTCGCGACCCACAGGTTGAGAACCGCTGGTTTAGAACCTCTGAATGAGGCATACATATATTTTGTGTGGCCTGCATGACAGTAGCCTGTACAGCATATTTAAAATTTGAAACTGTTTTCTAATAATTAAAATTTAGTCAATTTCATATATCCCCTACCTCCCCCAAACCATGCATATTTCAGGCTTCTGTTGGAATACCTGTGAACTGTAGGCCTGCATTCTCACTATTCAACTATGCCGGGCTGCCATCACACCGGATATCACATTTTCTCTGCATTCCACCATCTTCCCCCACCCTTCGCACTATCACCACAGCACAGGGCCAGTGACAGTTGCTACTTATCATCCTGCTTGCATTGTGGGTTTTCCACATCACTGTGAAGAGCAGTGAAACACTAGTGCTTATCACTGTGTCTCCAGCAGAGGCAGGAAAGCGAAAGGCAGGACAGAGGGCATGTGGCCAGAGGGCCTGCCACTCACTTCCAGGACCTGCCTGGCCCCTGCAGCATTCAGATGTGTGCCCTTGCTTTAAATCTAACTATGTTTTCCAACAGGAGCACCAAAATGCCTCAGAGCCTTCAGAGCAAAACTGCTGAGAAGTGAGAGCCCCACCTCTAATGATCTTAATAATTAGATGGCTCTCTAATACAAGAGAAAGCTGTATTAAAAGCAGTGAGCATCAAATGGGCATGCAATGGCACCAGAGAGGGAGTTCCAGAATTAAGGAAATGCAGGAAGGTTGAAAACTTTGTACTAAGTAAAAGGGACAGAGGGAGGTGAGCTGAACCTGACCTGTGAGGCATAGGAATGCCTAACCTGGAGAGGAAAAGAAAAGAAAAAAGGAAGACTGCAATCTTAGGGGTGGAGCGCAGCCTTGCTCCCCACGGAGCTGGTGACCAATTCAGCCAAGCTCGAGTCCATTTGAGAAGCCCCCTTGTAAGCCTGCCCAGCATTGGTATCTTCCTCATCTAGCCTCTGGGTCTGTGCATACAGTCCCCTCTACCTTGCTATCCTCTCCTCCCTCCCCCTCCCTGACCTCCTCATGATCCCAGTCAACTCCTCCTGTCTCAGGGACTCATGCCCTCACCACCCCCAACTAGGAATTGGGCTACTCCTATGTGCTTCTTTTGCACCCTGTAATTACCCCATCAGAGCACTTATGTGGCTTTTGTAAATGCTTTTATAGTATCTCTTGCCTCACAAAAATCAACTCAAAATGAATTAAGGACATATACAAGACCTGAAATTAAAACTACTAGAAGAAAACACAGGAGAAAAGCTTCATGACATTGGTCCTGGCAATGATTTCTTGATTATGACACTAAAAAGCACAATAACAAAAGCAAAAATAGACAAATGGAGCTACATCAAACTAAAAAGCTTCTGCACAGCAAAGGAAACAATCGATGGAGTGAAAAGACAACCTATGGAATGGGAGAAAATACTTGCAAATCATATGTCTGCTAAGGGGCTATTATACAAAATGTTAATATCCAAGAAACTCCTACAACTCAATAGCAAAAAACAAACAAACAACAAATAACCCAATTAAAAATAGGCAAAAGATTTGAATAGATATTTCTCCAAAAAAGACATACAGACAGCCAATAGATATGTGAAAAGATACTCAACTAATCATCAGGGAAATGCAAATCAAAACCACTATGAAATATCACCTCAAACCTGTTAGGATGGCTACCATCAAAATGTCAAAAGATAACAAATGTTGATGAGGATATAGAGAAAAGGAAACCCTTGTGCACTACTGATGAAATGCAAAATGATACAGCCTCTATGAAAAACAGTACAGAGCTTCCTTAAAAAATTAAAAGAATTTCTACATGATCCAGCAACCCCACTTCTGGACATATACCAAAAAAAAAATTGAAATCATGATCTTGAAAAGATACCTGCACTTCCATGTTTATTGCAGCATTAGTCACAATAGCCAAGATATGGAAACAACCTAAACATCCGTTGACAGATAAAGAAAATGTAGTATATAAACACAATAGAACACTATTCCGCCTTTTAAAAGAAGGAAATCCTGTTGTATGTGACTACATGGTGTACCTAAAGGGAATTATGCTAAGTTTATAAATCAGTCACAGAAGGACAAATGCAGCATGATTCCATTTATATGAGGCCTCTAACATAGTCAAACCCTTAGAAATAGGTGGCTGCCAGGGGCTGGGGGAAAGGGGAAATGGGGAGCTGCTGTTCAATGGGTACACGGTCTAGTTTCAGCTATGAAAGAGCCTTAGAAGGAAGCCCGACTCCTGAAACCTAATCTCAGATGTGACTTGCCATCACTTCTGCCACATCTGTTCGTCACACAGACCAACCCTGGTACAACGTGGAAGGGTCACACACAGGGGTGTGACTACCAGGGGTGAGGCCATTTGGGGCTGGCTACTACACTTTCTCTCCCCCTTCCTTGCTTTATTTTCCTCCATGCCACCTATGAACAACTAACATTACTTATTTTTTTGATCCTGTCTCCCCACAATAGAATGTAAGAAGGATTTTTTTATTTTTTTTTTTGCCTGTTTTGTTCCCTGTTGTATCATCAGCACCTAGATCGGTGCCTGGCACAGAGTAGGGTTTCATTAAGTGTTAAATGGTGAACAACGACCCACCCAGCGGCAGTATTTCTATAAGAAACTCGCCAGAGTTCCCACTCAGAATATCGTAGCTCATAAGTACCGCCCCCACTTTTAAAAAAAATTCTTGTACTTGATTCTCACAATCTATGAGGAAAACAGGACAGCATTTTTACGCCCCACTCTGTTCATGAAGAAACTGAAATCCAGGAAGATTAAGGGCCTTCCTATCCATGCTGAGCAAATGGTGCTGGTGGGTCTAGGCAGGTTCCCCTGCCCTTGCCCGGTGCACCCCTCTTCCAGGGCCTACCTACTGCACCGTGCAGCCTGAAGCATCACTGACGGGTCACAATCCACACAGAAGAGGTCACTAACAGCTCACGTCTTCCCATTATGGATAGC